TTTATAAAATTCAAATAATTGTGTATTTATGATTTTGAGGAATATGATTTTTTCTTTTTAAATTCGAAGAATATGTATAAAGTTAAAAAAAATGAATTATTTATTTACATATTAGTATAAAATATTTAAAATAAGGCTAAATAGCATAATACCACCTACCTATTAGCAAAATTGTTGAAAACTCCATCATCTTTTGGAAATAGCACAAATTGTCCTTGTTTGAAACGTTTAGTGTGGAATACATCCTATCGTCCATTTTCTCAATAAAATTTTTATGAAATGATGAATATATATTCTCAATTAAATATAGCATAAGAAAAGAAGGAAAAACACTAATTACAATCATTGTCCCAAATTATTCAAAAATTATAAATCAGTCCCAAACTAAATAATTAAAAATTAAAAAAGATTAACTTTATCTTCCTTATTTTTTTTTCTACCATCAGCACCACCTTCGCCATCGCATTACCACCATGAAACTGTAAATCAAGATCAAAACCCTCATCTTTCCAAAGGCGTTTACAGAAGCGAATGCAAGCAAAATTTATAAAGTAGTTCCTTATCTTCCCACAAGCATTTACAGAGCCAGCATTCGAGTATCAACGAATATTTATAGTCAGCATTTTTCCCAAAATTGAATGTGCTACTTCTCATCCATATTTTTCTCTCTTTACCATCCTTATTTTCCTCAACGATTTCATCCACATAGGATTTATGGCCCTACCTAACGTCAGATATTCGACAACACGGCTAAGATTTGACATATGATTGCTCTAAAGGAACCAGCCTAGCTAGGATTACCAGGACGGGTTATCTGCTGCTGTAGTTTACTGGAAGAATCCTTTACAATGAAAGGACATATATTTCGTCTAGACTGTTGCTTCTTTATCTATATTGCATGTTGATGCGCTTTAAAAACCGTTATAGGATAAAACATATTCAGGGTGTCCTACATTTAGGGATGAAGACCACCCACATATCGTGACACCAATTGTTCCTCAATTTCCATCACCCCGTTTTTGGTAATCAGCATGTAAAACTCCATCGTGTAGTCATCAATTATCTTCACGCCTTGATGCAAATGCTACAATCACTGATACATGGTACAGACATAATTATAGGGCAGAAACTGCTTCTTCATTTGCTTCTTTAATTTATCCCAAGATGCAATCTTTTCATTCCCTAATCTGGACCTCATCACTTTTGTCTGCTGCCACCATGCCACTACTCGTCCACGAAAGCTTGTCACAACGAGAAGCACACATTTACTAGCAAGAACCTCCATAAACTCTAAAGACTCGACGAAACTCGGGGATATCAACCTTAAACTCTAATTCTCAGCATCATTCTTCTCCTGCCCACCTTCTCTCCATCAAACTGGCAATTTTATTGGATGATCAAGTAACGTGAATGGGTTTTCATCTTCAGAATCCTCAAGCGATTGGCCACAGGCACATGTTGCTGTGGCACGAGTCCATAATCATCCACTAATAATACATTTAGACAAATGGATCGAAACAATTAAATAATTAATCAATCATATTAATAAATTAACTTGATTGGTGGGTATATTTATTTAAAGTCAAATTTTAATTATGTATACCAAATTAGAGTACAACTCTAATTCCACAATTATGGTGGGGACTATTTAATTAAAATTAAAATTTAATAAAGTATCAAATTAGAATCCAACTCTAATTTCAAGATTTAAAGCGATTGAATTGAAATCAAATTTTAATTAAGTAACAAAATTAGAGTCCAACTCTAATTCCAAGATTTAGGGTGAATTTATTGAATTAAAATCAAATTTTAATTAAATACCAAATTAGAGTCTAACTTTAATTCGAACAAATTTTAGGACAGGACATTTTAATTAAAATTAAATTCTAATTAAATGTCAAATTAGAGTCAAACTCCAATTTCAAGAATATATTGGGGTGAATACTTAATAAAAATTAAAATTCAACTCTAATTTAAATTGAATTAATATTTTAATTTAGGATAAAACTCCCAAATAAAATAAAATTTAATGTAGGGTCAAAGTTTAATATTTAAGTTAAAATTTAATTTTAACGAAAAGATAAAGTTTTCAATTTTAAATAAAATTTTAAACGGGTCAAAATTTAAATTTTAGGTCAAACCCATTTAAAAATCAAATTTAAAACTATTTTAAAATTCAAATTCAAAAAACCTCTTAAAAATTACAATTTGACCCGATTTTAAAATTAATAATAGGCCTTCCAATCTTGCAAATTGCAGACATTCCCTTCTTTTAAAAATTGTAATTGACCCCTTTTCCTTTAATTGTAGGAGGCCATCCCAAAATTTCATAAATTTCAATGGAAGCCACCATCCCTAATTTCATTCTCTTGACTGAAAACCCTAGAACGCCTCCTCTTTTCTAGCAGCATCATGTACTGCAATCAACTAGAAAATGTATAACAATCAACTTTTAATTGCACAAAAACTTTAAAACAATTTCTAATAAACATAAAATAGGCTCTAATACTGTTGAAAATTTACTTAATCATGAACACAGAAAATAAAATAAATTTCAATTCTCACAAATGATCTCTTTTATATTTAGATAGAAATTATGATAGAAATTGTACTTTACTTGAATTTTGCAAACTAATTTACTATTCTTTTGTTTTAACAATCTTGATTTGTCATCTACAGTTGTCAAATTGTCCAGCTTTCAATGAAAATTTGCACAGAGAACAAGATTGAGAGAGAACCAGGGTTTTACTTTTCTTTTGCTAGGAAAAAGAATGAAAATCTTTACAGTTTTCAAAACATTAGCTCCTTATTTATATAAGTCGAAACGGGTTTAGCCCGTTTCTTAACCCAATCCAATATTTTGTTAACTTATTTAATTAAATTCGATCCATGAATTAATTACTCAAATTAATTAATTCGTGCTTATTAATAAGCAACCTAATTAATTAATTATTTAACGCTTGTCAATTAATTAATTGGTAAATCTTATTCTTCTAATTCTCTTTTTTGTGTGTGACTCATTAGGTTCCCAATCACTATGCCTAATGATGTGAAATTATTATTTAAATCTAATTAAATCGATAAATTAAAGTACCTATTTAATTTATCATCAATTCACATTCGTTGTCTCAGATTTGACATCTAGTGATGTGTCATGGCAACACATATCACAGGAAATGTCATGTGGTATGATAAAATCAAACTTGTTCGTTTACCATGAAAATATAATACATTCGTCAATATAATCCGATTAATTATGAGATATAGATGTGTGTCAATCTCGATTATCAATCATATTTTTCATTCCACTACTAAATCAATATAAGTCGAAAACTTCTTTTCAATTTGTAAGTGCACCTTAGCTAAGGATTTTGTTATCAACTTAACTGAATGAAATGTAGATCATAATATCTTATTATCTAAGAGCGACGTATCCATTATTGGTCATTCACAACCTTAATATGATTTTTGACATATTTGAACGATGCCATATTAGCGATCTTTGATAGAGCAACATCCAATATCATCAAAATATGACTACCTCATTTAAGGCACTATGTTGACCTCAAGCAAAGGACTAATTCGAATACCGAACATTAGAGATTAGTCACTGGTACTTAGATAGTTGTTCATGTAGAATCTCCCAGCGGGTCTCCGATGTCTTGTTCTATAACAAAATATACACGTGTTCATTTAAGTGTCACAATACTTTAACTTATGAGATCAGTTACTTATTTCACAAGTAAGAAATGTTACACTTGATGGTCTATCTGTAACAACGATATTCTTATCATTATTGCTTACGACCACGAATGATTTAGGATTCAATCATACGTAATTTGTATCTCACAACCACAACTCATTGTGATTAACAATTACCAAGATTTGAATCTATAGACTCTATTATTTAATTTAATTGAATATTAATTAAATAATGGATCTGCCATAAAATTGTATCAACTATATATTCAAAGTGCTTATGTTGAAAGTTAATTGGATTTAAGGCATAACACTTACACACCATATGCTGGTAGTACTTGATACTCGATTGAAATGGATTGTCACGTATTACACATTTTAGAACCTTGCCAAAAACTAAATATTTAAAAAGTTAAATTGCACATTTAGTCCCAAATCTTTGGAAAAGTTGAGATCATGTCCCCAACCATTTTTCATCTATTTTTGTTTCCAACATTTGGAAATATTATCTGACTTCGTTACTTCGTCTCTAAAGACGGGTTGTGTTCAAAAATTTGTTAAATTGGTATAAAATAACAATCATATCTTTTAACTTTAATGAACAAAATGAAAATAAAGCAACAAAATAAAACAAAAAAGAATTTAAAAAGACCAAATGAAAAGGAAAAGAAGATAAAAAAAATGTTTGCAATCCCCATACTCTTCCCCACCCACCCGTCCCTTCCCCCTATTTATCCATGGGTTTCTTGTGACCACCGCTGAAAACCTATATTTCAGTTTTTTATCCTTCTTTTCTCCATTTTTTTCCCTTCTACTTAAGTTTAGGAGAAAATTACTATTTTACATAGATTTAGTTCCAGTTTGATTCTCATTCTTTGACAACAAAAATGAAAAATATTATTACTGTCCATCATATCAGGCCATCATATTTGACTTTTAATCTCTCGTATGGATTCCGTAAGAACTATATTTTTCTTTTTCATTTTTAGAAAAATAATAATCAAACGAGGCTTAATAGATTATCAGACATCCAATTCAAGTGCATATCCCATTTTTGCACAACAGGATTATGAAAATCCACGAGAAGCGACTGGACGTAGAGAAATCAATCAAAAAATTGGTTAGTTTCTCAAAGGTTGGGTAGAAAAATCAATCAAAAAATTGGTCGAGAACATGATCGATACTTTGTCTAAAGGGTGAGGAGTAAATGTGCAATTTTCACAAATCTTACTACGGACATCTTAGCATCTTGTGCCTTATGGCAAGTTGAAGATGCCTTATGGCAAGTTGAGTTCGTTTTCCTAAACCCAAAACGACGACGTCCTTTCTTAACTCTCGAAGAACTTACAAATCAAAGCATAAACCCTAACTTCAGTCGTCCTTTCATTCCAGACGCTCCTCTACGGCACGTTAAACCCTGGTCGAGAAACTCTGCCCTCCAAAGAAACTGTTATCGAACAAGAATATGGATGTTAATGAAAGCCTAAACTCCACTGCCACAACTGATAAATCCACCAAAATCAGATTCGAGTACGAGGATGATGAATACATAGAGGACGAAACCATCGAAGAAGCCGCCACTGAGTGCTCGAATCTGGAGGACGACTCTGTCATGTGCATGCCAGATGATTCCAATACTGACATCGATAAGACCAGCGCGGATTATTATTTCGATTCCTATGCGCACTTCGGTAAAGCATTGTTCTTTCCCTAAATTGTTTCTTTTTTAAATTTAACTGTGTTATTTGCCTTAGTGTGTCAAAATGTTACCGTGGAACTGGACATAATGCTCGGATGTGAGAGTTGAGATGCAGATCTAATATAGATGTTGTGCAGTCAGGATAAAGTTCACTCCCCCCCACCCCCACATCTGGGGGACCTTTAGCTCGAGCTAATACCTTCTCCTGCATTCTGTGTTTGTGTCTGTCGATTTCTTTCTATAGATGGAAGAACTAACGTCAATAATATAAGACCATTTTGGCCGCTGGTAGGCTACTCACCGTTGAAGGTTGACGAAAGTTATAATTGTTTCATGCTGGGCTTTTAATGATTTTTTTAAAGGCTATTCGAAGAAGTAATAATCATTCATTTGTTGCTTAATTTTTGCAGGTATCCATGAAGTAAGTATTCAAATGGCATGTAAAGCTGTTGGAGTTATACTTTCGTTACATTTCCTTAGCAGTGAATTCTGTTTGCTCATCTATTTTTTGAGCTATCATAGATATAATGTTTATATATAATTGGATAATTTTACTAGATTTCACACTGGGATAAAAAAGATCTTTACTTTCTAGATTTACTGTTATGATTTATCTCGTGGTTGGAGGCTTCGCACTCTTGAACCTCTTGATAGTCAAAATATTATTTCAAACTTGCAGCTCTAATTCATCTGACATTCTAAATGCAGGAAATGTTAAAGGATGCTGTAAGAACTAAAACGTACCAATCTGTTATTTATAAGAATCCCTTCCTTTTCAAGGATAAGGTAGTCCTTGATGTGGGTGCCGGGACAGGAATCCTCTCGCTTTTTTGTGCTAAAGCTGGGGCTAAGCATGTTTATGCGGTATGCAATCTTTTGTTTTACCGAATCATTGTTTTCGTGGTTCATGTGATCTTGTCCAGTACGTAAGTCCAGCTCAATTTTTTATTTTTTTATTTTATTTACTTATCTATTTTCTATCTATCTCATCATTGTTCTTTATTTTTCAAGATGGGCAAAGTTATATGGAGGTAATCTTGAATGCTAGCTAGCTACCATTTTATAGATGATATTGTTCTGATATCTCGATTACTATTTGGTACAAGGATTTACCAATAATTGAGTTGCCAGCGACTGGACGATATTAACAATTTACTCCTCACAACATACTCGATTCATGATCATGATTTCTGTAGGAACTGAAAGCACTTTATTGACAAGTTATTTTATTTTCAAAGCATCCAGAAACTCAAAGGTCCAAAGAATTCCTTGACTTGTTTGCTTAGAAATCTTTATACCTTCCCTAGTTAAAGTTAGCAAAAGCAGTGTCTTTTGGACCCTTTTTCTTCATAGAAATTTAGCTGTATAGTAATTGAAGTTATGTTCTTCAGTTGCATGCGTGTATCATTGTCCATGAAGGATGCGTTCTTTAAAGCTTATTTGTATTATAATGGTCAGTGTTCAATTTGTCATGTTTTTCTCAAGATTACATTTCCTTTGTATGCATGAGAAACTGATGCTTATGCTGTTCATCATAGTTGGTGCAATTCTGAACTTCACATTTATTATTTTCAAATAGGGTCTAAATCTTGTATTAATTCATGTCATAACTAGCCAAGTTTGTCTGTTGCTTGTCTTTAGACTCTTTACATTTTAAATTGATTAATTCATGGAGTTTTTTAGTCGGTGACAATAGTTGTCGTATGATGACTAGGAAATAGGTGTGACGGTTTGTATTCATGTAAGTGTTATGTGATTTGTCGAATGCTGATTAATGTGTGTACATCTGCTTGTAAAGTTACTATGCCTACTTCGTGTGTCATCTGGTTTGAGTTTTGTTTTTCCAAAGTAAATATCTAATTAGGCATTCTTCACATCCAGGTCGAATGTTCCAGCATGGCTGATATGGCTGAGGAAATTGTAAAGCTTAACAATTTTTCAAATGGTATTACTCTTTGTATCCTAAAGATCCTGAATTCTTTGTAATTTCTTTGTTATACTTCATAGCTGATAAGTCTTTTGCGGTCAATTGCCCTACTTTTGTTGTTGCAGTGATAACAGTTCTTAAGGGAAAGGTTGAAGAGATTGAGCTGCCAGTTGCTCAAGTTGATATTATTATTTCTGAGTGGATGGGATATTTTCTGGTCTATGAAAACATGTTGAACACTGTCCTATACGCTCGTGACAAGTGGCTGGTAAGTTGCCTTTAATATTTCAAACTCATTGTTTACAGCTTAGTACCTAGTTATGGATTGATTTCTAGTTCTAGCAAGCAGCAAATAGATAAGACAATTCTTGAGAGCTGTTCAATTCAATCTGTAAAGATTTTTATTATTGTACCTTGCTCTGTTTCAGGTCAAAGACGGACTTGTCCTGCCAGATATGGCCTCCCTCCATTTGACAGCAATTGAAGATGCTGATTACAAGGAAGACAAGATTGAATGTGAGCTTAATCTCTTTTGCATATGGCTAAAGTGTCATGTTATGATATTAAACTTTCACTTTCATGCACGCAGTAGCGTTCAGATTCTTTGACTGGTTTCTGCTGGTGCCATTTGTGGGGTCAGTTTTGGTGTTGTGTAATAATTTTACTTGTTCTAAATTATCTTGTTCTTTTTGTTTTTTGATAATTACAGTTTGGAACAATGTGTATGGATTTGATATGAGCTGCATTAGGAAGCAAGCCTTATCAGAACCTCTTGTTGACATTGTGGAGCAGAAACAGATTGTTACGAACTGCCAGTTACTCAAGGTTGGAATTTCCACTTTTCTGTTTTGTCAAGTCTAACTTACGAGTTTTTGACTCTTAATGTTGCACACTGCAATCAACATTCTAGTTTCTTAAACTAGTTCTACTTTCTAATTTTACAGACAATGGATATCTCTAAGATGGCTCCAGAGGATGCTTCCTTCACCGCACCTTTTAAGCTTGTGGCAGAACGTGATGACTATATCCATGCTCTTGTTGCTTATTTTGATGTTTCTTTTACTAAATGTCATAAGTTGATGGGCTTCTCTACAGGTTTGATATTTTATCCTTGACTTTATTTGCTATTCCTAGCATTTCTCGGAATTTTAGTTGCCCTGAATCTCTCTCGGGACATGATTAAAACTGGCTCAAATCATGCAAAAACCTCCTTTGATCAGTTAAATGCTGTGAGATGATAACCAAAGATGCCACTCTACCGGTCCCTATTCCCTCTCCATATATTTCACTTACCCTCTTTAATTTACATTATATATATCATTTATACAAACAGATTCACGCTTCATCCTCGTGAATACGTACTTTTTTCTCTAAGACAAGAAAAAAATGGTACAATCCAAGAAGTTCAGAGGTGTTAGGCAGCGCCACTGGGAAAACCTCCTTTGATCAGTTAAATGCTGTGAGATGATAACCAAAGATGCCACTCTACCGGTCCCTATTCCCTCTCCATATATTTCACTTACCCTCTTTAATTTACATTATATATATCATTTATACAAACAGATTCACGCTTCATCCTCGTGAATACGTACTTTTTTCTCTAAGACAAGAAAAAAATGGTACAATCCAAGAAGTTCAGAGGTGTTAGGCAGCGCCACTGGGGTTCTTGGGTGTCTGAAATTCGCCACCCTTTACTGTACACTTCTCAGATTCTTAAATTTCTTCTTCTGCATGTAAAGTATAATGCCATGTAATTTCTTCTATGATTAATCTTGATTGATTTGGTTTGAGTTTTATCTTGATTTCCAGGAAAAAGAGGGTGTGGCTTGGGACTTTTGAGACGGCGGAGGCGGCGGCGAGGGCCTACGACAAGGCTGCGATTTTAATGAGAGGAAGAAATGCTAAAACAAACTTCCCAATTATGGACTGCGACGAAGATATATCATCTGCACCATCATTATCATCTTCTTCGTCCTCTTCCTCGTTTTCGTCTATTCTGAGCGAGAAACTTCGCAAGGGGTGTAAATCGACGTCCCCTTCTCTCACCTGCTTAAGGCTAGACACAGAGAATAGTCATATTGGGGTGTGGCAAATGCGGGCCGGACCACGTTCTGATT